GGGGTGCTGTTTTTTAGGGTGCTGGTTTGGGGGCTGCTGATTTTTGGGATTGCTGGTTTGGGGGTTTCTGGGTTTTGAGGATTGCTGGTTTGGGGATTGCTGATTTTGGGGGTGCTGGTTTTTGGGGTAGCTGTTTTTGAGATTGCTGGTTTTGGAGGTGCTAGTTTTGGGGTTCCTGGGTTTTGGGGGTGCTGGTTTTTACCGTGATGGTTTTGGTGGTGCTGATTTTGGGATTGCTGGTTTGGGGATTGCTGGGTTTGGGGATGTTGGGTTTGAGGTTGCTGCTTTTGGGGGTGCTGGTAATGGGGATGCTGTTTTTGGGGTTGTTGTTTTTTGGATTGCTGGTTTTGGAGGTGCTGGGTTTGGGGTTGCTGATTTTAGGCATGCTGGTTTGGGGGTTGCTGGTTTGGGGGTTCCTGGGTTTTGGGGGTGCTGTTTTTTACTGTACTGGTTTTGGGGGTGCTGGTTAAGGGGTGCTGGTTTGGGGGTTCCTGGGTTTTGGGAGTGTTGGTTTTTGGGGGTGCTGTTTTTTATTGTGCTGGTTTTGGTGGTGCTGATTTTGGGATTGCTGGTTTGGGGCTTCCTGGGTTTTGGGGGTGCTGAATGTAGGGGTGATGGTTTCGGAGGTGCTGATTTTGGGGTTGCTGGTTTTAGGGATGCTGCTTTTGGGGTTGCTGGTTGTGGGGGTGCTGGTTATGGGGAGTGCTGTTTTTGTGGATGCTGGTTTTGGTTTTGCTGATTTTGGGGTTGCTGGTTTTGGGATTGCTGTTTTGGGGGTTGCTGGTTTTAGGGATGCTGGGTTTGGGGTTGCTGGGTGTGGGGGTGCTGTTTTCGGGGCTGTGACACCTCTCCCTGTCCCGTGGGCAGGAGTTGGGGTGCAGGACCACGCACTGCAACCTGGAGGTGGTGCAGAGGAGCACCCTGGTCTTCCTGGCCACCAAACCCCACGTGCTGCCGGGGGTCCTGGAGGAGATCCGTCCTGCCGTGGGCACCCACCACATCGTGGTCTCCCTGGTGGCTGGAGTCACCATCCAGACACTGCAGAGGGTGAGTCTCCTTCTCTCCTTCTCCTTCTCTCCTTGTCCTTGTCCTTCTCCTTGTCCTTGTCCTTCTCCTTCTCCTTCTTCTTCTCCCTCTCCTTCTCTCCATCTCCTTTTCCTACTCCTACTCCTTCTTTCTTCCTCTCCTTCTCTTCTCTTCCTCCTCCTTCTCTTCTTTTCCCTCTTCTCATTTTCTCCATCTCTCCTTCTCCTCCTCTCTTTTTCCTTCTCCTCCTCCTCTCCTTTTTCTTCTCCTTCTCCTTTTCCTCCTCCTCCTCCTTCTTCTCTCTTTCTCCTCTTCTCCTAATTTTCTCCTTCTTTATCTCTCATTCTCCTCTCCTTTTCCTTCTCCTCCTCCTCCTTTTCCTCCTCCTCCTCCTCCTTTTCCTCCTCCTCTACTCCTTTTCTGCTTTTTTCTCTTCTCTTTCTCCTCCTTTTCATCCTCTACTCCTTCTCCTTCTCCTTCTCCTTCTCCTTCTCCTTCTCCTTCTCCTTCTCCTTCTCCTTCTCCTTCTCCTTCTCCTTCTTCTCCTCTCTTCCCTCCTCCTCCTCATGGTCCATTTTCCCCGTGCCCACAGAGATCACACCCGTGTGGCCTTGTCCCCACCCCTCCAGCTCCTTCCCCACCCCTCTCCCTTCTCCCCCCCGCCCCTCTGGGTGACACCCACCGGTGTCAGGGCCCCCATCCCGGGGTTGCCTCCCCCTTTTCTCCCATCCCTCTCTCTCCGCAGCTCCTCCCTCCCTGGACCAAGGTGCTGCGGATCATGCCCAACCTGCCGTGCGTGGTGCAGGCCGGGGCCATGGTCTTCTCCCGGGGCAGCAGCGCCGGCGACAAAGAATCCGCCCTCCTGCAGAACCTGCTGTCGTCCTGCGGGCTCTGCGAGGAGGTCCCCGAGTCCTACATCGACATCCACACCGGCCTGAGCGGCAGCGGCGTGGCCTATGTGAGCTCTGGGCTGGGAATCCCGTCCCGCTGGGATCCGGTGGGCTCCCCTCGATCCCGGCTCGGTCCTGGGGGCTCCCCTCGGTCCCGGCTCAGCTCGGGGAGCTCCCCTCGATCCCGGCTCGGTCCTGGGGTCTCCCCTCGGTCCCGGCTCAGCCCGGTGGGCTCCCCTCGATCCCGGCTCGGTCCGGGGGGCTCCCCTTGATCCCGGCTCGGTCTTGGGAGCTCCCCTCGATCCCGGCTCAGCCCGGGGAGCTCCCCTTGATCCCGGCTCGGTCCTGGGAGCTCCCCTCGGTCCCGGCTCAGCCCGGGGGTCTCCCCTCGGTCCCGGCTCAGCCCGGGGGGCTCCCCTCGATCCCGGCTCAGCCCGGGGGGCTCCCCTCGATCCCGGCTCAGCCCGGGGAGCTCCCCTCGATCCCGGCTCAGCCCGGTGGGCTCCCCTTGATCCCGGCTCGGTCCTGGGAGCTCCCCTCGATCCCGGCTCGGTCCGGTGGGCTCCCCTCGATCCCGGCTCGGTCCTGGGAGCTCCCCTCGGTCCCGGCTCAGCCCGGGGAGCTCCCCTTGATCCCGGCTCAGCCCGGGGAGCTCCCCTCGGTCCCGGCTCAGCCCGGGGAGCTCCCCTCGATCCCGGCTCAGCCCGGGGGGCTCCCCTCGGTCCCGGCTCGGTCCGGGGGGCTCCTCTCGGTCCCAGCTAAGCCCGGGTACCTCTGTTGTGCCCCTCCAGGTGTACCTGTTCGCCGAAGCCTTGGCCGAGGGCGCGGTGAAGATGGGGATGCCCGGAGCCTTGGCCGGCAGGATCGCGGCGCAGACGCTGCTGGTGAGCCGGGAACTACCCCGGGAACATCCCCGGGAACATCCCAAATCACCCCAAATCATCCCAAATCGCTCCTCGCCCGCCTTTCCCGCGCTTCCCACCCGGCCCGCGGCTCCTCAACAGCCGGCAGGGCGAGGGAGGAGGTGCTGGTTGAGGGGTGCTGGTTAAGGGGTGCTGGTTTTGGGGGTGCTGGTTAAGAGGTGTTGGTTTTGAGGGTGTTGGTTAAGGGGTGCTGGTTTGAGGGTGCTGGTTAAGGGGTGTTGGTTTTGGGGGTGCTGGTTTTGGGATTGCTGGTTTTGGGTTTTCTGGTCTTGGGGTGTTTGGTTTTGGGGTTGATGTTTTTTAGGGTGCTGGTTAAGGGGTCCTGGTTTTGGGGTGTCGGTTTTGGGGGTGCTGATTAAGGGGTGCTGTTTTTGGGGTGCTGGTTTCGGGGGTGCTGGTTTTGAGGTGCTGGTTTTGAGGTTGTTGGTTTTTAGGGGTGCTGGTTTTTAGGGTGCTGGTTTGAGGATGCTGGTTTTGGGGTTGCTGGTTTTGGGATTGCTGGTTTGGGTTTTTCTGGTCTTGGGGTGTTTGGTTTTCGAGTTGCTGGGTTTGGGGTGCTGATTTTGAGGTGCTGATTTTGAGGTTGTTGGTTTTGAGGTTGTTGGTTTTGAGGGTGCTGGTTTTGAGGGTGCTGGTTTTGGGATTGCTGGGTTGGGGGTTTCTGGGGTTTGAGGATTGCTGGTTTTGGGGATGCTGATTTTGGGATTGCTGGTTTTGGGGTTGCTGTTTTTTAGGGTGCTGGTTTTGGGGTGCTGGTTTGGGGTTACTGGTTAAGGGGTGCTGTTTTTGGGGTGTTCGTTTTGAGGGTGCTGGTTTTGAGGTGCTGGTTTTGGGGTTGCTGGTTTTGAGGATGCTGATTTTGGGATTGCTGGTTTCAGGTTTTCTGGTCTTGGGGTGTTTGGTTTTGGGGTTCCTGAGTTTTGGAGTTGCTGTTTTTTAGGGTGGCTGGTTTTGAGGGTGCTGGTTTGGAGGTTGCTGGTTGTGGGATTGCTGGGTTTTGAAGGTGCTGATTTGGAGGTTGCTGGTTTTTTAGGGTGCTGGTTTGGGGGTTGCTAGTTTGGGGGATGCTGGTTTTGGGGTTGCTGGTTTTGGTTTTTCTGGTCTTGGGGGGGTTTGGTTTTGGGGTTCCCAGGTTTTGGCATTGCTGATTTTGCAGATGCTGGTTTTAGGGTGCTGATTTGGAGTATGCTAGTTTTGTGGATGATGATTTTAGGGATGCTGGTTTTGGGGACATTGATTTTAGGGATGCTGGGTTTGGGGACGCTAATTTTAGGCTGGCTGGTTTTGGGGTTGCTGGTGTTTTCGGGTGCTGATTTGGGATATGCTGGTTTTGGGAACACTTATTTTAGGATGGCTGGTTTTGGGGGTGCTGATTTTAGGCATGCTGGTTTGGGGGATGCTGATTTTAGGGTGGCTGGTTTTGGGGTTGCTGGTTTTTTAGGGTGCTGATTTGGGGTATGCTGGTTTTGGGGACACTGATTTTAGGGCGGCTGGTTTTGGGGACGCTGATTTTAGGGTTGCTGGTTTTGGGGTTGCTGGTTTTGGGCTTGCTGATTTTAGGGACGCTGGTTTGGGGACGCTGATTTTAGGGATGCTGGTTTTGGGCTTGCTGATTTTAGGGATGCTGTTTTTGGGGATGCTGTTTTTGGGGTTGCTGTTTTGAGGGTGCTGATTTTAGGGATGCTGGTTTTGGGCTTGCTGATTTTAGGGATGCTGTTTTTGGGGATGCTGATTTTAGGGATGCTGGTTTTGGGGTTGCTGTTTTTGAGGGTGCTGATTTTAGGGATGCTGTTTTTGGGGTTGCTGATTTCAGGGATGCTGTTTTTGGGGGTTGCTGATTTTAGAGACGCTGGTTTTGCGCCACCCACCAGGGCGATGGAGGAGCTTCTGCCCCACCTCCTGCCCGAGTTCCCCCCTTCCCGCACCCCAAAAAAAACGAGGCCATCACAAAGGCGGCAAAGCCCGCGAGGCGACCCCTCGGGACGATCCCAAGGGGGATGATCCAGGAGGTCCCATTTTCCCGCAGGGCGCCGCCAAGATGCTGCTGGAGACCGGGGAGCACCCGGCCAAGCTGCGGGGCGACGTCTGCACCCCCGGGGGCACCACCATCTACGCGCTGCACCAGCTGGAGAAGGGCGCGCTCCGGGCCACCGTCATGAGCGCCGTGGAGGCGGCCACCAACCGCGCCTGCGACATGGCCAAGCACTGACAGACGTTGTGCCCTGGAGGGGGCCCGTGGGGGGGACCAAAATCCGCCTCCTGTTTTTTTCCGGGAGGTGCTGATTGCCCTCGGGAATGGGGTGGGAGGGTGGAGTTGGGCATGGTGTTACCTCTGTGGGTGAATAAACGGGGGCAAGACGTGGATCCTCGTGGTCCCCCCTCTCCGGGGGGATTTGGGAGTCGCCACGGGGTCACTCCCAGGAGGAGGGGACAGGATGGCCACCGTCACTGAGGGTGGAGGTGCCACCCGTCCTCTGTGGGCACCGGGGATGGGGATTTTGGGGATGGGCTGATCCCAGTTGGAGCCTCCTGGAGATGGGAGAGCGGCCACGTCCCTGCGGTGGGAGATGAGGGACCATCCCCTGGGGGGGGGCTGTGGGATTTTTATTCCCAGAAATGCGGGGAGAGAGAGTCCACCGACCTACAGAGGGGTCAGCCCCACACATGGGAGGGGGCTCCACGGGAATGGGATGGAAGCCTAAACCCACTCTCAGCTCCAGGGAAAACTCAGGTTATCCAGTGAGGATCCAAAACCTTTTCCATGCCCTAACTCAGCTCCGTTTGCCTCCTGGCACCCACACGGGTGTTCCAGGTGATTTGGGAACCGCCTGGAGGATGAAAAGGCTCCATTTTCCAGGCAAAATTGGGGGGTTGGAGAAACCTCGCTGGGAACTTTCTCCAGGCACCCAATTAATTCATTAGCAAAGCTGCACAGGAGCCAGAAACGGAGCTCGAGGCGGCCTGGAGAAGGGAAGGATCCAGGGAGACCTTGGAGCACCTTCCAGGGCCTAAAGGGGCTCCAGGAGAGCTGGAGAGGGATTTGGGATGAGGGCTGGAGGGACAGCACCCAGGGAATGGCTGCCCAGGGTTAGGGGGGATATTGGGAAGGAATTCCTGGCTGGGAGGGTGGGGAGGGGCTGGAATGGAATTTCCCAGAGAAGCTGTGGCTGCCCCTGGATCCCTGGAAGCGTCCAAGGCCAGGTTGGATGGGATTTGGAGCAACTTGGGCTAGTGGAAGGTGTCCCTGCCTGTGGCTGAAGTTGGAATGGGATTTTCCACGATTACACCCCCTGGGCGTGGAACCCAGCGGAGAAAACCCACACCCAGGGGGCATAACCAACAAAGGTCCCCTCCTTGTGCCACCCCAAACCCCTCCTGGCTGGCTCCACGGGGCTGCTCACAAACCACAAGCTCCGTGTGGGAATAAAAATCCGTTTAATTTCCGTAAACTCTGCGCTGAGGAGACAAAGACGCGGAGAAACCTCCACCCCACCAGGTGGCAGCTCCTTGGAGTTCATCCCCCCTCCCTTCAGTAATTTGGTTCAACCGGCTCAAATTTCTTCCAGGTAAGGCCAAGAGCTGCCAAATTCCTCTCTGAGGCCTCCAGAATTCCAAAGTGGCTCCCTGCTCCGACCTCAGCTCGCCCACAGGTGCCGTCCGGCCCTGACCACCCCCCAAACCCCACGGGAACGCCTTTGGCTTCCCCGGGGATGCTGTACCTGGTTCAGCAGGTCCCCGTGGTCCAGGTGTTCCCAGCTGTGGTGGGAATGGTGATGGTGACCTTTTCCAGGGAGCTGCAGCTTCTTGGGTGCCACCCCAAGTGTCCCTTTTCCGATCCAGTGCACGGAGTTGCCTTAAACCTGCCCCAAACCATCCTGGCATTATGGGATTTTGTCCCAGCAGTGGGAAAGGGCATCACCAACCCCTTCCCCAGGGTGGAATATTTGCCCTACAGCACCTTGGGAGTGGTCCCTGTCCGGCTGCTCTGAGATTTGGGGACTCACTTGGGGGAACATCCCCAATAATCCCGCTGACACCGAGCAGGTGCATCCCTAACCCCTTCTCCCCACGGGATTGGGGCAACCAGGGAAATTTGGGGGGGGGGGGGCACCCACCCCCTTCCAGCAGCGCCAGCTGCGACCGGGGATGCAAAAAATAGCACCTCTTAGCCACGTTTAGGCGAGGAACAACCCCGAAAATCCCCGAAACTGCGACCCCACAGCCTCCCGGTCCCCAGGAGGAATCCTGGCGGGCGCTGGGATCCCCCCGCCGGGATAACGGGGCGTTCCCGGCCCCGTGGCCAGCTGGGGGCGGTTGGTAGCCCAAAGGTAGGCAGCGGTAGCCCCCCGGCCTAGGAGCGGGGGCTGCGGCCGCGGCGCAGCCGCTGGGCCGTGGAGATGAGGGAGCGGAGCTGCACCAGCTTCAGCGGCCCCACTTCCCGCGGGTCCTGCCCCTCCAGCCACCGCAGCGCCGTCTCCAGGCCCTGGATGGCTTCCCGAGCCGTGGGAAGCAGCGGGTCTCCTCCTTCCCCACCGCCTCTGCCAGCGGCTGCTTCCTCCTCCTCCTCCTCCTCCTCGTCCTCCTCCGCCCCGCAGCCCTCGGCGCCTTCCTCGCCCGCGTCCTCTTCTCCATCCTCCTCTTCCTCATCCTCATCCTCCTCCTCGTCCGCGCCCGGAGCGGCATCATCCAAGTGCAGCCAGTCGGACACCTCCTCGGGAGCCAAGCGCTTGAAGGCCAGCGCTGCCAGGTGGGTCAGGTCGCTGAAGACTTTGCTGTCCCCTCCTCCTCCTCCTCCTCCTCCTCCTTCGTGCCCCGCTGCCGGGGTCTCCCCGCGCTCCTCCTCGCCGGGATGCGGCTCGAAGGCAGCGCGGAGCCCCAGGAGCCAGCACTTCTCGATGGAGCCCGGCGGGATGAGGTCCCAGGAGAGCCCGGCGAGGCACAGCATGTCCTTGAGCAGGAAGGACCTCACGAAGTCGCCGGGGCCGCCGGGACCGCCGCAGGACACGGCCAAGCGCAGCAGCTCCCGCTTGTAGAGCTGCTTGAAGGCCGACACCACCCCCTGCTCCAGCGGCGCCGGGATCCGACCCCCGGCTCCGGCGGAGCCGCTCCCGGCGGGACCCTTGGAGAGGAAGAGCGCTCGGATGGAGCCGTCGGGCGTCTGCAGGGGAGGAGAATCCTCACGGCCCGGGCCGAGCAGCAGCACGGCCTTCTGCTGGAGGCAGCTCCGCCGCAGGTAGCGCTTCACCCCCGGCACGAAGTCCTCGAAGAACCACGCGCGGAGCAGCGCCGGCGCCAGCGCGGCCTCGCGGCTGTAGCGGTAACACGCCGGGAACTTGTCCTGGTTGTGGTGCCGGAGGCTGGCGGGATCGCGGAGACCCCCGACCACCAGCGGCTTGAGCTTGTGGGCTCCCGTCAGGTTGGCGGCCAGCAGCACCGTGACGCGCTCGCCCCGCCACCGCCGCCTCCCGCCCGCCGCCGCGGATGCGCTGGCCGGAGATGCCGCGGCGTCGCCGGGGAGAAGCTTCCAGAAGAGGCGGGTGACGTTGGCGTTGTAGATCTGCTCGTCGCCGTAGCCGCCGTCGGGCAGAGGCTCCGGGCGGGCGGCCGGGGCGCGCTCGGGCTCGGCGGCCGCGCCGCCCTCGCCGTAGATGCGCTGGCTGGAGATGCCGTGGCGCTTCTGCCAGCGCCAGAACCAGCCGTGGCTCGCCTTGAAGGTGCACTCCGGCCCGTAGATCTGGCGGGCGAAGGCTTCAGCCTGCGCCTGGATGAGGGGCCCGGAGAGCGGGATGCCGTGCTGGCGCAGCGCCAGGAACCAGGCGTAGACGGCGCGGTCGATCTCCTCCTCGTTGGCCAAGCGCATCTTCTTGCGCTGGGTGCCCACCTCGCCGCCGAGCTGCTCCAGGAACCAGCGCAGCTTCGCCTCGTCCTTCAGCCAGCCCCGGAGCGTGCCCCCCGGCACCCCGAAGGCTCGGCACACCGACGCCTGGCGCTCGCCCTTCTTCACCCGCTCGATGGCCTGCAGCTTGTCCTTGATGGAGTAGGCGCGGCGAAGCGACATCTTCGCCGACAGCCCCCCGGGGGATGCGCTGCTGCTGCTTCCTC